AACACAATACAGTTACCGTATTCGTCTTAAATGATATGATGATCAATTGTCAATAACCACTGAATAAACACAAGCATATATATTATTAGTATTTTCTAAAATAAAACTAAATGTAGAATACATAAACATCAATTACAAAAATACTTACGAACAGAGAAATGGTGCTAAGTAACATTCTTTTCCTCCCTCAATTAACCATTTTTTCAAGTACTCTCGAATGTCTTTTGGTTGATTAAACATCGATCGAATAAAAATCAGATCCAAGATTCCATAAATACTCGATTTATTTAACTCTATACAAACACGGTAAATGTACCTAAATGGTTAAACAAAATGAATAAATTAAGGGAGGAAATACAAAAAATGATAATATTCTATAATGACATGTATAGTCAACTATATACTTACATGCACCAAACTTGCAATATTCCTACGTCTAGCCACTTATATCCACCGAGAAAATCCCTTACATAATCAGGATTGTAATAGAATAACTCCAAACATGGACAATGTTCTAGCGGGAGAGGTTGCGTATCACTTATCACCGTAACATTCAAGTATAGCGTGGTGATTTCATTTTCATTAGGGTCCATTATCTCATTGCAGTTATCTGGAGGAGGAGAGGGGCTGAACAATTGCTTCCTATTGTAGAAGCACGACGTACAAGACTTCTACTTGAAGTTTGATCATCATCATCATTACCATCAACATAACGGTGATCTTCATTTGTACGTTGTTCGAGGTTTTCACTTAATCTCTACATCATAATATTCAATTAGAATATAAAACAAAAATAAGCATAATATATATCATACATTTTCGATAAAACACTAACATCTCAAGTAAAGAACATAGCGAATATAACTCTTGAAACCTTTTCATATATTTCTCCTTTTTTTCCCCTCTCCTCTTCTAACATTCTCCTTTGTTCTTCTAGTTGCTTCTCAACATTCTCAATCTTTTGTCTTTGTGCATTAGATTCCGGGCTTTCGATACTTTTTCTTTGAGACCCAAAGAATGACCTCAAGTCGACAGTTTCTCCAACACCACAGACACGCCCACCATGCTCATTTGTTCCGATAGCTTCTACTAATATGTCATGTTGTGCTTCTAGAACAAATGTGCCTTCATGGGATGCCTCAACCAACTTATCCTACACAGCATGAGCAACTTACATATATTGTTACCAACATATTTAAATAACAAATAACATAAGCAAAACAAATCATACTTATAATTTTCTCAGCAACTACTCTTGACACCTCAGAGGTGTACTCTCCATTTGGTCTTAATCGAGCCCTCTTCCATTTCTCATGTCTTGACAATGAAGATAGGATGTGACCATCTCCTGTTTCTGGTTGTTTTTCAAGCATGATTATTTTCTTAAGTTTCCTGTAACCCCCACGAGACAATCTATGGGGGGTACATGTTCTTTTCCTTCTTTTTGTATTTCTACTTTGTTTTTAAGTTGTTATTAACATAGTGAAAAAAATATATAATTAGTATCTATAACTCATTAACATAACATTATCGGTTACATAAGACTAGTATTAACCTTGAATTCCTCAAAATGACGTATCTTCGCAAACTTGTTCCATTGTTTCTTCGATATAAAACTATATTGAATCCATGGACGAGCAGACCGCTCTTAGGCTTCTTAATATAGTCATCCGTGAGCTGTGACTTAAATCCCCTCCAACGAGTACCGACATAAGATATCCACTTTTTTTTTTCAACTTTGAGTCATCGGTAAACTCAAAATTCAACTAAATTTAAATCAATATATAAGTATGTATTAGAAATTATAGGTAGTAATATCGAATATAAAAAAATTATAGTATATAATACCTTAACGTCTGTCCATATGTTTTCTTTGACTTTTTCATTCACTTGTTTCCAATAATCTATCAGTATATTGACTTTCTTACGTGCAAGGAATGCAATATAACTCTTAAAAGTAAAGTAATGTTCACAATCCACTACTCTGTAGAATGAATCAAACTCGATCGAAATTTTTTCACCTGATGAGTTGCAGACTGATGTAAATTGGGGCATTATTGTGACACCTCTTTGTGATCTTTTCGATTGAGTATCATTTGTTTGAGTTCCATTCGCACAACTCTCATTTGTTTGAGTTTCTTCGCTAGTATCTGATGTAGAAATCGACAAGGTCGACATGTATATTAAAAAAAAAAACAACATGAACAACAAGAACATAAACAACAACCACAACATAAACAACAACCGCAACAATGGCAAATGAAGTTTACTGTAGATGCATGGGGAAAATATTTTACGTACCCTAAATGTGATGACTAAGTAAATGATGTTGGTGTTGGTCTTGGTGTTTTCTTCCTTCCTTATGGCAACAACGGTATTGTTGTTGTCTTCCTTCTCGATGGTGACAACTTGGTTAGTGTACTCTTCCTTCTCGACATCACGATCGTGATGGTCTTGTCAACCTCCTTGACGATGATGACGGAAATGAAAAATACACAGTAAAGAATGGATACTGAAGAGATAAGCTAGGGTGAGCGATGGTGTTTTGGTTGAAATCGTGTATTGTTTCACACTAAACTTTGACTGATCTTCCACTTGAACTCTTTGATTCCAAAACCCTAACTTGTAATCAAAGCAAATCAAGACATATTTTTATGTATTTTCAATAAAGTTAGCAAAACATGAAAGACACACACAACAAGTGGTTTATTCTATGCAAATGATGCAAATGAAGGTGAGATCTTAGGGTTAAAAATTAGGGTGTGACAGTGACCCAACTCTTCTTTGTTACCAAACTTGTTACCTCTAGTGCACTAACACTTTCATACCCATCTTTTTATGTGTCAATCACATTTTGAATAGAATCACCCATGTTTCTCCTTTCAGGACAATCCTTCTTGAAGTGATCAGTTTTGTTAAAGTAAAAAATTTAAACTTTTACTTATTAAAAAACATTGACTTGGACTTTGACATGGATCTCTTCCCTTTCCGGTTTCCCCTACTCCCACTCCTTCATCTTAACACACTTAAGCTTTCACCATTACTGTCAACATTTAAATCTTTCAACTTTGATAACTCTTCTAATCTTACGGTTGTTTGAACTTCATCCAATATGATAGTTCCTTCCTTACCATGAAGAATGACATCCTTAAAGTGTTCAAATGATTTGGGTAATGAGCTTAACAAAAGTAGAGTCTTGTCTTCATCTTTAATTTTTACCTCAATATTTTGCAAACAATCAACGATCTTGTGAAATTTTGTCAGCTGCTCTAGAATATATTTATTATCCACCATATTAAAAGAATACATTTATTGTTTCAAACACAATGTGTGAGCCAACAACTTTGTCATATATAATGATTCAAGCTTTTCTCATATCTCAGTCCCAGTCTCTTCCCTCGTGGCTTCCTTTAATACTTTATCTTCGAGGCATGATATAATGACACTTCTGGCCTTATCCATTATCTCAATCTTCTCAACTTGTGTAAGGCTTGAAGGTGTCAATGCCTCCCCCTTTAATGCTTCTACCACCTTTGTCGAATCAGTATTGCTTGCATCGTTACCTTCCATAATTTGAAGTCGTTGTCTCTGGAAATTTTTCGATATTCCATTTGGAACCCATGGTGTTCATTTGTAAACTTAACCCCTTTACCTCCATAATGGGTGTCACTTGTTCTGAAATTGATAAAATAATTAAAATTATTTCAGAAGAATTATTCAAAGTTAAATACACTAAGAAATTTGATGCGTGGCACAAAGAACAATGACAACCAGACAAATGAACTCAAGCAATAAAATAATGATAGGCGAGAACACATAATTTATTTACCCAATTCGATCAAATCGATCTATGTCTGGGGACAAAACAACTTTTCAATTCACTATACTTTAAAAGTTGTTACAAGATATTACAATATGAATTACAAAAAATAGGTTTTAGAGTTCCCAAAAACAAACCATGTTTTCTACTCTAAGTATTTATATCTCTTTCCAATTCTCAATTTAAGAATCATACAAACTCAAATTGTTTAAAGTGTTTATCAATCTCTTTAATATTCTCAAAAGGCTGCCAAATACCAAAATATAATTCTAAGAAATTTTATCGTTTACTTTTCATCACGAAAATTTCTATCTTATACAACTTTTGCATCTTGTTTTTTTTAATAAATAAGAAAAAAAATCATATTTATAAATATCAAAACCTTACTTGGCTTAAAATATGACACATTAATAAATAGATTCACAAACAAATCTAAAAATATATGAGTACCGAATTATAGTTTTTCAACTCTTTTCTCACTTGAGATTTTAAGACGACTACATCAAAACAAAATAGAAAAAAATAAACAAATTGGTTACAAATTCCAAACACAAAGCACAATAGTATTTGACATTTTTATAAGATGTTCTCAATTGCACAACAAGGTATAGGAACATTTTCATCTCATATTTCAATGCATATTATTTTCATTAATTTTTTATTCACAATATGGTTAATACCATATTCTAAACTTAAATATTATAAGATAAATAAATTAAATAAATAATTTAAAAAATGTTCCACTAAACTAATTAAATTGAATGAGGTGGATATATAAATTTACTCATGATAACCAAAGCATGAATAAACAAAATTCTGTGGGAGAGGTCGAAGACTCTAAGGTACGACGAATCTGTCTCTGTCTCTCTCTCTCTATTTTGACATGGTTTGATATTCTTTTTCTTTTCTTTTCTTTTCACAAAGCACACAAACCCATATCATATCTATGTCCCTCATCACTTCACTTGTTTACACATCACATTGTCTTTAACCAATCCAACATATCTTAATGTTGTTTTTCTTGCATGTTTTTAACAAATAACTAACCATTGTTATAACATGAAACATATATGTAAGTGTTGTGTTATTTATCATTCTTGTTTTGGTTTGATTTTTCTTTGACCCTTTGAATTCTTTCTTGCAGACTTTGTTTCTCCTTTGAATTAATTAAGTTGTTGCGATGGGTCCTGTGAGAGGAATCAAGAAGAGAAGAAAGACAGAAAATAATAGTAATAATAATAATGTTCGTGCTTCTTCTGACTCATCTGATAAAGAGGGTGTTGTTGTAGATTGGTGGAATGATTTGTCAATCAAGATGAATGGTATATTCACTTTTCATGTCTCATTTTTCATTTTTCTATCATCAATGTGTCGGTTGCTTTTCAATTTTCATCATTAATTTCAAACTCTATGTAACACACATGTATTTTGATAAAGATCCCTAATTTGAATTTCAACTTGATTGTCCTTCTGATTGTGTTATCTTATCAATCATGGCTACATTATTGTTTTTAGTAGCCACAATTTGAACTCTAAACCTCATTCTGAAACCCCTTACAGTATCTCGAATTACAGTTTGTGGATCATATAGTACATTGTTGATAGTGTGCCCTAAATTTCAATCAAGATTGATGCTTTCATCTTGATTCTGATCTGTTTCTGCTTTCTGCTAAATTTTGTTATTTGAATCTGAAATAATTGAATTATGTTGTGCTCAAGTATGTCAGATAGTTGAAATTAGCATGCATATAGCAGGAACCATAACAGAACAGATTCTTTGCATTTGTTTTATCTTTGGCTTGTTACAAAATAGCATCAGCCTATATTATATAGGTAATAGAAAACAAACTGTACTATGGTATAGGTTATCGAAAAGCCGATACCATTTTATGTAGGTTGGTCATATTATGCTATTGCTCAATTCAAAGTTACTTAACTCGGTTGTGTGATCATTAGTGATGTCAGTTTGATACAGTGTTCTAGAATCATGTTATTGCTAGGAACATTCTCTAATCTTATAATATCATTTTCATAAGTTTCTGCAACTCAAGCGTGTTACTGTCTTCAACTATGCTAATAACTTAGTTCTTAGGTTTGTATGATTAGCATCAAGAACTTGTGTTGATTTGCAGGTCATCAGAAGTCACCACCAAAGATCTCCAGAAAGACGTTTGAGTATATATGTTCACTTGTCAAGGATGATGTATTGACAAAATCCGCGCATTTCACGTTTAGCAACGGAAAGCCAATGTCTTTGTTTGATCAAGTGGCCGTTTCATTAAGAAGATTAGGAACTGGTGACTCGCTTGTCACAATTGCCGATTCATTTGGGCTAAGCCACTCAACTGTTTCGCAAGTCACATGGCGATTTGTGGTTTCCATGGAAGAAAGAGCACTTCATCATCTACAATGGCCTTCAACACAAGAGGAAATGAATACAATCAAGTCAAAATTTGAGAAAATACAAGGCTTCCCCAATTGCTGTGGCGCCATTGATGTTACTCACATCACAATGTGTTTACCTGCATCCGAACACTCGAGTAATGTGTGGCTGGATCATAAGAAAAATCACAGCATGGTTTTGCAAGCAATAGTTGATCCTGACATGAAATTCCGCGACATAGTCACCGGTTGGCCTGGTAAAATGAAGGACTGGTTGATATTCGAGAGTTCAAATTTCAACAAACTTTGCAATAAAGAAGAAAGACTCAATGGAAAGAAATTAAAACTTTCTGAAGGATCAGAAATAAGAGAATATATCATTGGTGATTCAGGTTATCCTCTGTTGCCTTACCTAGTTGTTCCTCATCAAGAAAAAGAACTCTTGGAATCAGAACAGAAAGCAAAGTTTAATAGGCTGCATTTGGAAACAAGACTGGTGGCACAAAGAGCATTGGCAAGGCTGAAGGAAATGTGGAGAATCATTCATGGAAATATGTGGCGGCCGGACAAGCATCGGTTGCCGAGGATTATTCTGGTCTGTTGCTTACTTCACAACATTGTTATTGATATGCAAGATGAAGTGAAGGATGAGTTACTATGTTTGTATCATCATAATCATGACTCAGGGTACAATCAACTTATTTGTGAAGGTGTGAAAGATGACAAGGGTCTGGCGCTGAGGGAAAGTTTGTCTCATTACTTGAATGGAAGGTTGCATCCATAAATTTATTTTTGGTCTAGCTCATTTCTTTTTAAAGATAGCTTAATCTTTCATATAGTTGCTACTCTTTGATTGATAGACTGTAAATAATTTGGATGATGCATATGATAGGGAAAGTGGTAAATTCACATTAACATGGAATATAGATCTATTGTTGTTGCAATAAAGGTTCTTAAATTCATAGAATATATCAAAAGTAAGACAAATTCAACATCACAAAATTGAATCACCCAAGTGATCACCTAATCAAGATCTAGAGCCAGAAGATCTGGCCAGCCCTACAAGATTATCTGCTTCAGTGTTTCTATTTATGGGAATTTCTTATCACACTCTATATGATGAAAAAATACCCTATCGAAAATTTAAAATAATCCTCAAATTTTAAAAATATATCTTCGAACGCATCTTGTTTTAAATTCAAAATGTTAACTGATCCGGAGATGCATCTCCGAAATATTTTAAAACATGCACAATAAATTCCATTCTTAAAGACATTTTACATGTTTATTATTCCAGAGATGCATCTTTGTTTATGACTTACAGAGATGCATCTTCGTACTCTATTAGAATAGTGCAAATTATGTTTGTTTTATGGTTACACACATGTAAGTGATGATTTATAAATGTTAAGAACCCTATTATGTGATGAGGTTTAAACTATACAATCAATACCCAAAAAATGACATATATAAATCCAGATGGTCCAAAAATGACATATAAATAAGGTCGAAATACATTATAAAATAGAATGAAGTGAAAATAAAATACAATCCATAATGGATCCAAAGCATAACTATTATCTACTACTGCGTATGCCAGACTACAACTCCTCTGACTCCTCGTACTCCTCGGCGTCCACTAACCCTCATCCTCCGACGTTGTCTCAGGTAAATTAGTGTCTCTCGTGTCTCCCTCATAATGGCATCTAGGACCGTCCTCACCTTAGATCCATCAGAGAAAATACTTCTGTCAATGCGTACCTGCACAATCTCCAGTATGTGATGACATCTAGGCAAGACATCATGCGCGTGATCTAATCGTGCATACTCCTTTTCTAGTATCACCTGATGAGCTAGCCTTAGTGGATCTCCTAGAGCAGCTTGCACCATATACGAATGTGACACCCTGAAGAACTACTTGATGTAACCGTTGACATAGCTTCATTCGCTCTCAGTTATAGTACTTCGTTCCTCCTCTAGTACCAGATGATTAAGATAATCATCAAACATGACATCCATCTCTCTACGTGTCACAGTAGGAGGAGCAGAGACAATAAGGTGTCTGGCAATAGACTGAGTGTAACCGAACTGCTACATAATGTGCTCAGGCAGGTGAGGAAATGTGAGACGTGAGCCACAAGTCAACTATTTCGAGTATAACACTATGTCGTCAAATGGCCACGTCTCATGGTAATTGACATATCTATTGAAAGTAATATCCTCGGCAACCAAGCGGTCAAGATACACTTTGAACGACTCTATCGCCTGGTTCCCTCTTAACGACACAAATGCAGAAGCATACAACATATCCTCAGTGTTAGTCGGTACACATGATTAGTTGGAGATGTGCGGGAAATGTTGGAGGATCCAAGCTTGAAAAGTGTTAGAACACACGAATCATCAATTAGCAAAAAATGTAATGAAAATGACATACCAACATTAAAAGACCAATAAATATTATCGTCAATAGTGTGATGTTTCCTGTGACCTACTTTGTCTTCCACCTATAACCCTCTGATAACTTCGAGTACAAGTAGACCAAACAAGCGCCCCCTAGTTATACTCATGGATCCCTCAAAGTCCTCGATGTATAGTAAGTAAACGAAATCCACATATGTGGAACTCTTGTCCATAAATATCATGGTGCCGCCCAAATATAACATGTATGCTCTCATAGCATACTCTCTATGGAGCCCCATTTGCTCCTCATTTTCTCTAGCCTGCTCTGCTATAACGATCTCATTTATAGATACCATTTTTTAGGATTTCAAACCTAGCATGAGCCCCTATGATTTTTTCAAACTCCCTCATGGCATCCTCTGAGTCAACTCCCAGATGATATACCATCATCTCGAGTGCCTCGTCATTGCTCATCCTTCCATCTTTTAAAAGTTTCCCCCTGATCGAAAGATGTAGCAAACACGACACATCACCGAGTGTGATATACATCTCACCAAGCTGTAGATGAAATGACGAGGTCTTGATGTGCCATATCTCCAAGAATGCATTAAGAATCTTGTGGTTGACCATAATATGATCGGTCATGCACAAGTCCTTCATCCCAATTGGGACAAAGCAACCTGAAACCATTTCTCATTCGGCTGAGGCAAACCAGTAATCTTCCGCGTATGATTAATAAACTTTAGCGGATCACGGTCCTGCAGAAAAATAAATCTATGTCAAATATTTGTAATATAATAATAAACGTAAATAAAAAATGATTCCAACTAATTTTACCTCTCCGTCCCTGATATGTCTAGCAATATAGTCTTGGTACAAAGGCAGCAGTGATAACTCTACATGGCTTCTTCCAAATGCCTCAAGTGGCACTGGATCACCAGCTTCATCAGTTAGAGGTGGCACTAGCTCAGCAGCCTCATCAGTCAGAAGTGGCATTGGCTCAGAATTCTCATTAGCATGAGGTCCCTCCTTGAGGTAGCACTGGTGCCTCATGTACCACCGGTGACTTGGGTACCTCTGACGCTTGAATAGGTATAAATTGTCTTCTGCGGGAGGATGAAGGAAGTGATGCATGTTGTACAATTCTCCTGTGCCATAGTTTGTCATTTCTATCAGCTATAATGCCTGTAAGTAAACTAGACAATTAGTACAAGCAACATACAAGCAAGAAATGAAAAAAAATACTGATAATTTACAAAGATACATCTCCGGTACCTGGGAATCCAAACATTGAAAAACTCTGAAGATGCATCTCCGAAATTTTGTGTAACATTTCAAGACCGTCAATGGCGGAAATACATACCACCGTACCTAAAAAAATAATGGTTTGATTGTTATTTTCAACCAACAAACATGTTTTACAATATGTATACGCTATCATTCATGCAATTTCTACTCATTTATTACATAAATCATCAATTTGTACTCATTTATTCAAAAACTCAAAAACTTTTCAAAACATCATAAACTTACAAATTTAGAGTTTACTTTAGTGTTGAATGATGTCTCTGATGTACTTGATGTTAATTGAAGAACCTTTGAGTTTGGTTGTTTTATTTTGGATTTGGTTGATGGAAGAAACTATGGGAGAGTTTGAGAATTTTTTGTGTTTTTTTATAAATGAGGAAGGAGAAGGGTTCTGGTGTGATTTAAGCTCCAATACTGTCCGGAGATTCATCACGGAAATAATTTTGAATATGTATCTCCAGAGTTTTTAACGTTAATTCAGAATTCTATTTACTCAGCATGCGTCCGACGATGTATCTTTGAAAACTAGGGGCATTTTTGTATTTTCACGTGGTGCCTTAATAATATATAGGGTGCATTAATAAATTCCCTAAAATTAACACTAGAAAAATTATAATCGACGATTAAAGTCAAACACTATGATATAATTGGATAAATGTTGACTAAAACAATGTGCCATTGAATATAATATGCCACTGTCAATGCATTCGTATTGATTGAAATGTTGCGCCAGTTCATGTTCTTCGCCATCTCCAATCACCATCTGACACCCATTTCTTCTGCCAACCAAGGGGACACTCTCATTTGTTGTTTCTTTGTCGCTTGTAGGAGGATGTTTCCCCCCTCTGGATTTTATGATGCACCCCCGCATTGTTTCTCCCTCAGGAAAGAAGCCAGTATCCACAAAAGCACAAAAATATATTTTCCCCTTGTCTATACTAGTCTCTCCATAAGCCACACCACTCATTGTCTTGTCAATTTAGTGCACAAAAACTCATCCAACAAGCTAGTCACTCCTCTCGCAATATTCACAGGGTTGAAGTCTTTCTGTTGGAAGACAAGTTGATTCCTTCCTTGCCAAATCCTCTAGAGGGTAGCACATACAAGTTGTGCTCCACGTAGGTCCCTGCAATGCAACCAATTAAGCAACCAAGATTGAATATTAGTGTTATTTGGGATGTGGAAGCCCAAAGGTAGAAAATATCACACCCTCTTGGAAGCATGACATTCAAGGAACAAGTGCTCCTCAAACTCAAGAACATAGTTGTTAGACGATGGTACGGATCTAGAAGGGGGGGTTGAATAGACCCCTTGTTGAAAAATAAGTCGACGTTACCAATAAAATGGCTTTAAAAAATTTGTTTAATTTACGGAAGCGGCCGTGGAAAAATACCGTCTATAACGAACGGTTACTAGAAAACCGGATATGCGTTTTAGCCGATGGAATCGGATAACGAGTAATGAGAATCACTACGCTAGTCACACTCTCAATTTAATTTAGCTCACAATGTGGTATGACTAGTTCCAATGCCTTAAAATATTACCACAACAAATGGACAGCACACAAGGCTTTTCGTTCAGGAAATTTATCAAACACTTGGAGTGCAGAGCACTACAAGTGAGTCCAGCTTTGAGTAATTTGCTCTAGTTTTCTTGTACAATCAACGATTGTACTAGAGTCAAAATCAGTCTAGCACTTACTCAAAACAGTCCTAATTTTGATATAATTGCTTGTACTAAAACCACACAAATATTAAGCAATGTAAAAACGAAAGGTAAAAGGCACAAGGATTTGTTGAGGCAGTTCCCCCGTCGTCCTTGCTTCGGGGTACGTCTGCCCTCAATTCTAACAATAGAATTGAGCTCTTATAATATAAATTTAACCTGTTGTAGAATCGTATATACAAGAATGAAATAGCAATCAAACAAACGAACTCCCTTGTTGTTGTAGATGCTATCTCCTCTTGCCCCTTGATTCGAGTCGAATCAAGTCCTTCGACAGCTTGTGTATGAACCTCCAATTACAGCTCTATGTTTGAACAACCTTCCGTCTTCAAACCCCAGCCCGGATGATCT